AGAGCGTATACAGTGTCCAACGAAGAAAGCATAATTTCCTTGGGAAAGACTTTTGACGGCAACGGCCAATAGTTGGAGCATAAACGCAGTAGCATTTCTGGACCATTGTTTCTGGCTGTTTGCCATTTCTTGATACTTCACCGCGAGTACAAGCCGGAAGCTGCTTTGGTTTATTCCCACACGCTGCCACTCGGAAGATTTCCGCTCGTGAACGATTCAACGATCAACGGGTGCTGCCCTCTCTAATTAAATCACCTAAACGGTTCTGTTTCACCCGAATGCTCCCGGTTAGGCATCCGTCTAGATAGAGGAAGAGGAATACGCGAGAAAAACACTGGCCAGGGAAAAAGAAAGGGGGACTGGTTGTCTGACAGAGTGCAAGGTCACCAATGCGAAGGTCATCGCACCTCTGCTTGCCGCGAGTGAGTTCATGGTGTTTCACGCTATGACGCATTCGCTTTTTCCAGTGAGAAACATGCTTCGAGAATACAGATACGATTCAACAGTAACTCGTACGAGTGACTTTTATACACTGCATATCAAAATTATACATTGGAATGTATTAGGTTTTACCAAAAGTTTCTTTCGTAATTTGCGCTCAATTATTTTGTGTGACAGTGTTTATATAAATAGACAATCTAATTTCTTAGATGTTGATGTTGTAACAGTAATGGAGCAAAATGAACTGTACCCAATATTAATTAAGATTAATACGAATTAAGTATCAGGTTTTACCAAAAGTTTCTTGCGTTTTGCACTCAATTATTTTGTGTGACAGTGTTTATACAAATGGACAATCTAATTTCTTAAATGTTGATGTTGTAACAGTAATGGAGCAAAATGAACCGTACACAATTCAATAATGTAACATTAGACATAAAATATTGTGTATATACTGCTTATTAATAAAATGAAAGAAACTGTTGGGACAACCTAATGTTTATACGAAGTTTAGTAGTAATCAAATTTCGTCTATTATCATCTTGCATTTGATGATTGAGAAGTATTTACTCGCCATTTTGATGCAAGTAACCTGATGGTCATTACGATATATTTCTACACAATCTTCAACATTCATCAAATTTCACTTATTGTTCTTACATTAATGTTGCTATTATCTAAGCAATCTTTTTCCAATTTAAAAAAAAAAAAAAAACTGGATATCTCCTTATCTTTTAAAGAGGTATTTTAAACAAAACTCATCTCACAAGCAATCCTACTTTGTTTTCAAAATTACTGTTTACATCATAAAATTCAACAAAAAGCATTCGGTAAAAATTGTTAAATAAAAAACTTTTCATCGACAATCGTCAATGACAAAAATACAAACAAGTCGTTTCAGCATTACTTAATATTGCAGGAAGGTCTTGTTTCGATGTTCCTCACCGTTTCAACAACAAAAATTCGAGAAAATTTATATTTCAGTCTCTCAAATAATTAATAATAAGTGTATCCCTACTCCGACCAAGTAATTAAAATTGATCACCTCTCATAATTAAGAAACTAAAATATCTTAATCGCAAAATATTTGGGCAAACGTTGGGAAAACGTTGAGACGGAGGGTAGGAGGGGAAACGATAGGGGAGTGGCGGGAAAGAAATAGAGAGAGAGAGGTGGAGGGGGATGGGAGAGGGGGTTATAGAGGAGTGGGGTGGCTGAAGCAGGCAGGGTGCATACACCCGGATCGATGAACGTCGTTCAGGGGTCACGTTTGCCCCCCTTGCGCCTCTGCAACTGCTGGGAAGCCTGAAGTGTATCAATTCCCTACTCCCGATCACCTTCCACATCTATGTACAAGCTGCTAACTCAAATAGAAAACGTACTCGCAACGTCTATACTTTGTTTTTTACGGTCTACGACTTTCGATAAGAACGGTCGCAAATTGGGTAAAATAGCACAAATAAATAAATAACAATTATAAGACAATCTATCCATCTATGTATTTGTAACGTCACCAGAACTTTTACTACTTTTCTTTAAGGGGGTATTATCCTCTAGAAACTTCAAAAATTCGATGTCTTTTTTTTTGCATTTCCTTATCATTTGGGGTTTCGAGATAGTGCCTCTAAAATATTAATTTGAAATTCGAAGAGCTCTCACAGTTACAGAGGCTTAAAGGCTGTTCACCAGTATTAGTGCTAAATGTATAGCAAACTTTAAACGCGTTATTCTCGAAACGACATTTTTCAAATCGGGCGCACGTTTTTCTCATAAACTATTGGACCGACTGACTTCCGGTTTTACACACATTTCGAGGACACCATCACCTATGATCTGAACTAGAATTATACCGATAGCTCGAACGTGTTAGCCCTGCTCTCATATTTTAGTTGACAATTTTTCAGGAAAATTAAACCTTTATCTTCAAACAGCTGCGATTCCGATACAAAATTTAGTACTTACTTCATTCTAGTTCAGACGATAACTATATTCGTATAGATTGAAAAAAAATATTTGTTTTTCTGTCTAAGACGACTAGAACCGCCACAGCCTGTGCGGCCCGATTGAACGAGCGTCTCGCGCCACAACCTGCATAACAGCGCATAACTTGTATAGATTTCAATCAAGTATTTCATAAAAATTTGTGTTGTTAGTTGAAACGTGTTTTATTATGCATAAAAAAAACCCTGGTACTGTAGGTTTGATAGTTTTCGCAAAATTAATTCCTAAACATTACTGAAAAAACAAACTTCTAGACGATAATACACCCTTAATACAAATGAAATTTTGTTCAACTGCAATTATTCAGGTAACCCGTTTAAAATCTTGTTTAATTACTACGGACTGCGAATCTTTATGCATTTATAGAAAATTTGAATGTGCAAGAAACTACAAAATGCAAACAATATGCAAGAACGTAAAACAGATTGAAAGAAAAGTTCGTGTTAAAATATTTGCAGAATAAAATAAATTCCTATTTAGATTGAATTTTTATAGGGACGTTCGCAAAGATTTTATTTTGAATAAAGATGCGCAGTCTATTAATTACGTTCTCGTGAATAAGTTTTGTATTAATACTAGCTGATCCCAGAGAACTTTGTGTCTCCTTACCGTTACACAATTTCCGTTTTAAATATATATATATATAATTCATAATGAATATGTACACAAGACCACATATTATATTCAGATTGTAAGTGGCAAATTTCGAATCTGAATTGTTATCGAGGTGGCGAGTGATGTTTCTAGTTACGTTTCATTTCGATAGGTGGCGCTGAGAATTTAAATTCTATATTTATGAGCTGATTTTGCTCATACTTGCAGGAAATGTTTATCGGTCGAAAAGAAATTGTCAGAGTGTGCTTTGCATTCGGTAGGTGACGCTACAGTCGCACTTCAAGTAATCGACTTGATCAACAACAGACATTTGAATATCATTGTACTGCGGTATGCAAATGTTAAATTTTTTTGTAAATACTCACATCGTAATGTTTCTTTCGCCGATTTAATCGACCAAGCCTCCTTTTCATCTAACTATTCCACGACGTCTTTTATTCCTTCTAAATGCGTTGGATAAAAAAACGCAGGTTCCAACTAGGCCCAAAAATATGCAACCTTATGCAAAATAAAAAATATATTTATGGAATCATCTAATCGTGACATAAATTTCTGTCCAGGTCCCATTCGTCTACCTATTTTCTATAAAAACATGCATTTGCATAAAGATCCGCAGTCTATTTATTATACAGGGTGTCCCAAAAGTCGGGGAGGAGCCGGAAATGGGGGGTAGCTGAGACGATTCTGAACAACAATTTCCTTTGCAAAAATGTCGGATGGGGCTTCGTTAAGAAGATATTAAGCGAAAACCCCGACCAATCAGAGCGCGCGTAGACCGTTGGAGCGACCGCGGTAGCGAAGGCTACGCGCCGGCGGCCGCGCTTGTACGCGAACAAGTGACTCGACGTGCATCGAAGGAAATTGACGCTGCCGCCTAGCGCGTAGCCTTCGCTACCGCGGCCGCTCGAACGGTCTACGCGCGCTCTGATTGGTCGGTGGTTTTTCGTTAATAATTCAGAAACGAAGCCTCCACCGACATTTTTGCAAAGGAAACTATTGTTCAGAATCGTCACAGCTACCCCCATTTCCGGCTCCTTCCCGACTTTTGGGACACCCTGTATAGGAAGTAGGAATTTTGGAACAAAAGGTGTAAAATGCACCTCTCTCAAGCTGGCGGGACAAATCAGCAGAATCATATCGGACTTAATGGAATATTTAGTACTTATTTTGTACTAGTTTGTACCGCCATTAATAATTTTGTATCTGTTACCGTTCACGAAAAAATCGTGGCGCTGCTAGCTTGATATTAATATTACGATTTTCTTGAAAACGGTAACAGGTACAACATTTCTTTTGGTGGTATAAACTAGCACAAATTCAACACTAAATGTATCCGCTTTGATTTTTTCATGTATATTAATTTTTAACATTTTCAGCCACTAGCTTAATATTAAGCTAGCAGCGACGCGATTTTTTCGAAAACGGCACTAGGTACAAAATTATTGTTGGTAGTACAAATTAGTACAAAATAAGTACTAAATATTCCACCAAGTCCGATATGATTCTGCTGATTTGGTCCGGCCAGCTTAAGAGAGGTGTAAAATACGACTAAACCGAGTAAAGAGATTCGATTTCTTTAAGTTAGAGTTGACCCGCTGCTTTTAAAAATAATCACACGAGGACAGTACTAAGGAAAACGTGGCAAAGAGTGCGGGAAAAAAGATTATATAGAAATAGTAAAGAATCGACAAAAACCGTATAAATAAACTTTTAATGTCGTTTCTTTGTATTTCAGGTAGGATAGGGTAGTTGTATACCCTAGGATAGGGTATTGTATGAATAAATAAAATCTTTGTTTTTCAGAGCAACACAACTAGTTAAGGTTATTTTTGTCGGTTCCTATTAATAAGGATAAATAGTCTTACACGTACATATACATATACAATGAATAAGACGATAAGGTGTATCAGTCGCTAAAACAAAGTCTAAATTTCTGTTGACAGGGATGCCGGTTGACTGAAGATGGCCTCGCCGACACTCTCGCTGGAATCGCGCGCGAATTCCATCGGGTCCCTGGCCTCGCTGTCCCCGCTCACTGTGAGCGGCAGTTCTCCGCCCGCTAGCGACTCGGCAATCTGCGACGTCGACAGCTGCGACCTCTGTCTCGACCAACAGAAACCTGGAGAGGCGCCCTGCCCGCGGTGTCGCTTAACCGCCGTCGGCGTTCGCTGTACCGGCTGCAAGTCAACCGAGTCCGACGCTGTAGCACGTTGCTTCGACTGCGCCAATTTCCTTTGTCCGAACTGCGTGATGGCGCACCAGTTTATGCACTGCTTCGAGGGCCACCGCGTCCTCAACCTGAGCGACTCCAAGCTGGAGACGTTGACCAACTCGGGGGCCACTGAGATCGGCAAGAACACCCTGGTGATGAACGGAGGGAACGGAAACAGCGAGAAGGTACCCTTCTGTCGTCGACACAAGCAGGAGCTATTAAAGTACTTTTGCCGCACCTGCACCGTATTGGTCTGCAAGGAATGCACCATCACGGACCATTCCGGCCCGATGCACGACTGCGCGCATATATCAGAGGTGGGCAGCCAGCAGCTCGAAGCTATAGCGAGGGTGGTCCAGGAATGCAGAGCCAAAGCAGCGGACGTCAGGGCAGCCGTGAAAGCGGCGGACCACGGTGCGGCGCGTTTGCAGGTGCAGTACCACAAAGCGCAAAACGAGATCAACGACACCTTCCAGTTCTACAGATCCATGCTGGAGGAACGCAAGCAGGAGCTGCTGAAGGAGTTGGAGTCTGTCTTCTCCACCAAACAGATATCTCTGGGCGTTCTCACGCAGAAGGCCAACGAGATGGCCGATAGAATGCTCCAGACTTGCGAGTGCGTCGAACGGTTGACCAAATTCACCACCGTTACCGAAGTGTTGATGGTTAAGAAGATTCTCGACTCCAAGCTCCAGTTGCTGCTCAATTACACACCGGATGTGGGTAACCAAACCGTGGATCTCGAGTTTGTCAGCAACTACCAAGCCATCCAAGTGGGCGTGAGGAACACGTTCGGCTACGTGCGAAGCAACAACGAGAACAATGCTGGACCGATTGGGAAACAACCGCCCATCGCAAGACCAACCGCGCTCTCCAGCAACGGTAACAACGGAAGCAACGCCACCAACGGACCTGGCAGCGCTGGATCCCTGGGTGGTCTCCTGCTGGATCGACCTTACAGCAACGGACTGATATCCTCCAGCTCGAACTGCACCTCGTCCACCTCGCCGTCCTCGTTCGACACCAACAACAGCGTCATCACCAAACGCTTCAGCTCCGCTAATAGTTTAGGCCCGTTCTCGACGACCATCAGCGACCTCAACCTGAACGGCATAAACGCAAACCCTTACGAGAAGTGGAGCAACGGTGGCAACGACGCCTACCCCGTGGTCACCACGAACGACCACTTCTCCATGCCAGCGTCGGTAGTCGTCGCTGCGAACGCAGCCTCCGGCGACTCCGTCCTCGACCTGACCTCCAAGCTCATGTCCGCCGCAGCCATATTCCCGCCCAAGTCGCAGATCAAGCGACAGAAGATGATCTACCATTGCAAGTTCGGGGAATTCGGCGTGATGGAGGGCCAGTTCACGGAGCCATCCGGCGTGGCGGTGAACGCGCAGAACGACATCATAGTGGCCGACACGAACAACCATCGCATTCAGATATTCGACAAAGAGGGCAGGTTCAAGTTCCAGTTCGGAGAGTGCGGGAAACGGGACGGACAGCTGCTCTACCCCAACAGAGTCGCCGTGGTGAAGACCTCGGGCGACATAATCGTCACGGAGCGCTCGCCCACTCACCAGATCCAGATCTACAATCAGTACGGCCAGTTCGTGCGCAAGTTCGGGGCGAACATCCTCCAGCATCCGCGCGGCGTGACGGTCGACTCGAAGGGACGCATCGTCGTGGTCGAGTGCAAAGTGATGCGAGTGATCATCTTTGATCAGGCGGGCAACGTCCTTCAGAAGTTCGGATGCTCGAAGCACCTGGAGTTCCCGAACGGCGTGGTGGTGAACGACAAGCAGGAGATCTTCATCAGCGACAATCGTGCCCACTGCGTGAAGGTGTTCAACTACGAGGGCGCCTACCTGCGTCAGATTGGCGGCGAGGGGATCACGAACTACCCGATCGGAGTGGGGATAAACGCCGTAGGGGAGATACTGATAGCAGACAATCACAATAACTTCAACCTGACCATCTTCACTCAAGACGGACAGCTGGTCTCTGCCCTGGAGAGTAAGGTGAAGCACGCCCAGTGCTTCGACGTCGCCTTGATGGACGACGGTTCGGTCGTCCTGGCCAGCAAGGACTACCGACTCTACATCTATCGCTACGTACAAGTACCACCGATCGGCATGTAGAGAAGCGACGCGCCACGACGCCGACGATGATCTCGGATCGTTATCGTTGTTTCTGAGGCCTGGATCTCATCGACCTTTTTTTACTTACAATTGCCTATCTTCTTCTTCGCCCACTACCACTGCTCGTGCTCACTTCGCCTATCAACCTTCACCTCACTCCCGTTTACCGAGAAACCAAACGCAAGCGCACGCGAGCGAGTACACGCTGATCGAGTCGTCCAAGTTCGAGGTGACCCGTCCGACGAAACACGTGGCTTCCGTGCGGGGACTCATTCGGGTGTCCGAACTCGTTTCATTTTTACGCCTAGATTCAGAAACGGACGTTGCCGAACGAACGCTTTTAAACGAAATTTTAACGCTCGTCTCGGTCTTGGCGGCGCCTACGCGCACGCGTGCGATACGCTCCTGAGAATAGAATGAAAGGCGACCTCGGAACCACGCCCACTTTGGCGCGCGCGTCCCTCGCGCACGCGCCAGACAGGGGGGACCCGCCCACTTGGTCGCGTGCGCAGCGTCCTCGCGCACGCGCGAGTCATGGAAAGACACACGTGTAAGCGCGTATACGCGGAAAACTTACTTGTTAATGTTGTTATAACTGAAAATACTGTTGTTGTTGTTTAGTTGTAGAGCTCGCCGCCGCTAGTCACTCCGCCCCCCTTTCCCCTATTACTTTTCCTTCTTCCGTAAACCTATCGTATCCTCCAAATCCCCCACCCTCGTCCTTTTCGGCATCTTTTTCGATCAGAAATCGCGAGGGGCGTTTCTCTCAAGGCACCTCGAATCGTATCACGTTTTCTACACGCATCTATCTCGATCGCCGATCCTTCCAACACGGTTTTGGGACTTGGACTCGAAGACGTTGCGCTTCGTTTCACCCTCGATGGCTCGCGGGGAACGTTGCGCGACAGTTCGTCGCTCTCTCTTCCTCTCACGCGCGCAGTAGGAAAAATAGCAAAGTACTCGATCGACGTTTGGTACCTTGAATAATCACCCACAGATGGCATTGACAATCGATATCAATCGTGTCCTGGTTCACTGGAAACCTTACGCGCACAAACACCCTTCGCTTCTGACCTTCGAAAGGACTCTCAGAACTTTTAGTTGAAAATCCTCATCCCTCCTCATCTCTCGAGTGTTTGTTCCCTTATTTTTAGGTGGTTAAGCAGATATTCTTTTATATTTATACACGGACACGAGTTTTGTTTTGTTTCCAGACTCGCTTAAACGTCATTTTACAATGACAACAAGTCCAAGCACTCATTTCATCTTCTTTTTCATTTTTTGTTTTCCTTCCTTGTTTACGGACATTTTTTTTCTTTTTTTCTTTCTTTTTTTTTTATCCTCCGCAGATGCTTGTTTTTGTTTCTTTGTGAACGTAGAGCGTGCGTAAAATTTGTGTTTTGCTCTCTTGACTGAAGAAGCATTTCCAGGGGGAACGTTCCTTCCCCTAGTTCTTCTATTAATTTCATACTTTTGAACCGTAGTTTTTTTTTTTTTGTGTTTACGTAGCGAGTAGTCGTAGTGAGTTTTAGCAATGACACCGAGGTTGTTTCTGCTCTCTCCATTCCTCTCCGTGCCGTTTCGTTGCGCGCTGGACTTTCCCCGTCGCGCATGCGCGTGGGATTCCCCTCGGACCACTGGCGCCACCTACTCCCTATTCAGTGTCCCTAATCGATCTTACCCGACGCTTCCCACCTCCTCCGAAACTCATTCTCTGTTTAGTGTGACCAGTAAAAATGATTTGCGATAGTGTTCTCCTGAATTGGAATGTATAGTATTAATATATTTTGTTGGATGAGTCGACAACAACAGAAGCCTCGCCTAGGGGGCTCTGCGACCCGAACTCATGCATGTTTACTATTACAATATTATTATTATTTTTTATTATTATTATTATTATTATTATTATTATTATTATCAACAACATTATTAATAATATTATTGTACGTATGTATTATTATTGTATTATTACGATTTTTTTATTTTTATCTATTCATTATTTAAATGCTGTGTTACGAGTTTTTGTAGGCATACCTCTCGGATGCAACACACCTAACCGTCGTTAGGCTAGCTGGCGTGTTAAGTTCCTCGATGTAGAATGGGAGAACTCACCTATTGCTGGCATCTTGGGAAATTGTGTAGAAAAATTAATAAATTGAGATTCCTTTTGCGTCGCCCCGAAGTTTTGGATAGTTCTTCGGGATCCATCCACAATTTCTGGGCTACCTGAGCGGTGGCGATGAAACATTTGTACATTTTCGATTCAAGGACTTCAGTTATTTAACGCTTTGAACATAATTATTTTCTTTCTCGTATTTAACACACTTTATAGCGCTAGTTTGGTAATTTTAAACTGGAATTCGAATTTCGAGAATTTCGAGAATTTCATGAATTCGAGAACGAAACACTCTGGACGCCATGTTTCAATGTGTCATGGCGTCGACCGCAGAGCGCCAATCTGTCATGGCGTCGACACTTGTTCGATTTAAGTAATTCCAACCTCTAGATGATTCACTGGAGTGTTACAATATCGATCTCGATGTTTAAACCATTGTTCGTTTATTAGAAGCTCGAGAATAAAGTGTAAAAAATTGTTAGACGTACATGTTCTTTGATATCAAGAAAGCACGATCGCCCCAAGAGAAAAGCAAAGTGAAAACTGCCCTCGAGAAGAGATCCTCGTTAATTCGTCGCAATGGCGTCGCTCGTTGTTATCTTTATCGAGGTGCTTGCTCGCTCTTACCAATTACTTCGACGCCAGGTGTCTGTCGTGCACGTTTGCAGTATTCTAGCCAGTTTTCAAGCGTGTTTGAAGAAAGTACGAAAGAGATTGAGAAAACGGATCGCCAGTCAAAGCCAGGGATTGAAAACAGTGTAAAATATTGAAAACATACCTGTTATGGAAATTCAGGAAGAACGTATCGATTCCTATGATCGATGTCCTACTGGAAAACGAAATTGTTAAAAGTGTCTTATACCCTTCTAAAATAATACACGTATCTTCATAATAATAAACTTTTTCTGAATTTATAAATTTCAATTCTGTGCTTGCCAATGACTTACAAGCTTTCTATTTTTTTTTTTTTAATCATTTTAATAAATGTTTGCGGATCGCAGATACTTAGAATCTTACGATAGAGAAATAAGTTTCGGCATATCTTTTTTAATTTCTCTTTCCAGAAACACATCCTTCCGACAGCTCTTTCGAATCACTGCGTAAACAAATTACAACAAGTTTATAAATAATTTATGGATTTATGAATTGTGTAGAGATTTTTTATACGTTTTTTATAAGTAAGTAGACTCGTACATTTTTTATACGTTTTTTATAAGACATACACATCAATTTGTAAATCATTTATAAATTGTTTATAAATTTTTTTTGCTTCTCTCCTTTCTTTTTTCATTTTGAAACTTCGTGAATAGAGCGTGTATTCTTTGAGTAAGATTTGTCTTCGAAGAGCTGTCGAAATGCTTAGAATACACTTTCTGGAAAGAGAAATTTCCCAAATTTTTATAAACATATAAATTCGTTCACTTAGAAATAATAATACACTTTTAATAATTTACGTAAAGACTCATGACTTTTATACCGTCGTATAAATTACACAGCCAATTGGAATCGTAATCGGAATCTACGTTATCATTTCTCCGTAATTATTCCAAATAGCAAAATCAATTTCAAACAAATATATTCAAGCTCTGGTTTAATAGCACATTTGTTGAATCACGCTAACCGAAAGACGATATTTAATATTACCATTTAGTTCCTATATATGAAAGTTATTTTGTTCTTAATTTCTGCGATTCGGAGCTTTTTGTTGTTGAATGAAAAAGAAAAAGAAAAGAAAAACGTCAAACACCTCTGGAAACGATGAATTATGGTTGTTTTATTCCATTATCGAGATCGCTGTACGACGTCCATTAGTATTTAAATCACGTATGCCTGTGTTGATTCGTAGTTAATCTTAATATTATTACTCTTATTATTATTATTATTATTATTATTATTTTTTATTAGTTATTATTAATTATTAGTTATTGTATTACTATTATTACGTTTACGACCATTCAATACCCAGGAAAGAAACATATGTGGAAACGAGAAAGGTTGAACAAGAGATAATGCCACCTTGCCAGCTAGCCGTCACTACCACCCTTTTGTTTGTTTATATATTTTTCTTGGTCGTTTCGATCAAGATCAATGCCAATTGATCTCTATTTGAGAGAAGCGCTGAACAAAAGGAGAGACACGAAAAAAAAAGAAAATAAGAAAGGAAACTACTTTGAAAAAATGCATTATTCCCAAAGTGAGAAACGAAGTCTACGCCTTTGTGTACGTACGGGTGTATGTGTGTGCCTGTGTGTATGCTTGAGTGCGCGCGCGCGCGTTTTCTGTTTGCACCTCCACTCCCCCATTGCATCCAGAAAAAAAAGTAATTGCATAAACGCGAAACACATGAAGAAAGCGACTCTCTCGTATTATTATTATTATTTTTTCTTTTTTTTTTTTGTACTGGTTTGTTATGTTATTATTTTTAGACGATACACAACCCAATTGTTCTTAATTTAAATTGTAAATCGTATTTTTGTTTGTTTTTTTAGTTATATTTTGTTGTAAAATGCTTTTTAATAATATTTTCAGTTCACATTACACCGACACCTTTTTGGTTTTGATCTCAGTTTATTTTTTTCTCTCTCACTCTGTTACCGTCTCACCTCCTCGTGGTTGATCGAAGGCGATCGAAGGACGATTCAAGGTCGATCAAAGGCAATCGCTATTACTTTGATATCGATGGGAAATTCTGCGAGCGATTGCCTTTGAAACTAGCGTGCTTGACATTGAAATTGTTATAACGATGGTAGTGTAATGTTTAAATGGTTGGCAAACTTTTTAAACATCCTCGAATAAATTTTGTAAAATTCAGGATTAAACGTAGATTTATTTAATTACTTTTATTCTACACAGAAGTAAACAAGTTCTTTTTAATTAACTCGTCGCAAATGAATTGGGGGAATCAATTTGTGGTTTAAATGAAAGATCCAATTTTTATAACAATATTTAACGTAGATCTATTTAATTACTTTTATTCTAGACAGAAGTAAACAAGTTCTTTTTAATTAACTCGTCGCAAATGAATTGGGGGAATCAATTTGTGGTTTAAATGAAAAATCCAATTTTTATAACAATATTTTCAAGCATGAGAATCGAAAGCGTTTACTGTATCATAAGCCTGTTCATTATGAAAATGGCACGAGTTCATTTTATCAGAAAATTGAATTGATTTTGAAAGTTCTATAAACAATGTACAAAGTTCAAGTAAAAATGTTTCATTGTCAAGGAAGCAGTATTTTTTTATGAACCTGTTGCGTTTAGTTGACGAATAAAAAAGGGTATATATTTTTGCAACATTATATGGTTTTACGTTTGCGATACCAAAAAGAATCTAATTAAATAATTTTTTAGTTAATACTTTATAAACCTTTTTTCGTCGTCAGAATAAAATAAATTTGGACCACTCTCATAATGAAGGGCTCGTGCATAAAAATATTTGTTTTTTTTTTTCTATTATTAATACAAAACGACGATCTTCTATCTTTCGATCCCTTTCAGCATGGACGAAATGTCGAACAAAACCATTCCTGATCAATTCCTAAACAAACATTCCATTTTAGTATTAGGCAAGGTATTAGACACCTGTATTTTATTTTTCTTTGTTTTTGCGTAGCTTGGTAATTAATAATATAGATATAAGTATAGATCTGCTTTTTGGAACCACGTCCTCTGTATTTATTTTTCTATTTTTTATTGTGCATCAATTTTCGTAGAGTTCTCCGAACGGGATCAGAAGCTTGAGTACCGCTTTGACCTTGAGAAGGACAAAGGATCCTTCTTGGTGATCACCTAAACAATCCTGAGGATTTTGAAAAGAGTAGAGCCTCGTTATTTCACGTTTGGTTACCATTGAACAAAGTTTGGTTACCTTTTCCAAGGTACAAAGATGAGCAAAATTCTTATCTAGAGAAAAAGTCGATATTTAAAAGATAATCAGTCTGATTTATTATTCGTTCAAATGTATAATTAGAAATGAAATTTCGTGCCAATCGAATAGAAAGCTAGAATAAAATTTTGCCCATGGAAGCACACTCTTCCCGTCATCAAGCGAAAGTCTTTTGCAAAGATGGCGTCCGCTATTCATTTCAAAACTTTTGTTAAGATGGCGCTGGTTGCCACAAATTCCACCAAATACATGTCCTCTCGTTTCTTTCCCTTCGTGTTATCCTTTCATTTTGTCAAAACAGAACGCTCACAATACGTGACTATGTTTAATTCGTGACTTTTAACACTGTAATATTTAATACAAGTGCGGTTAGGGTGTCTCAGAAAGTATATTCTGCGCTTCAGTCGCTTCATAGTATTTTTAAATCATTTCTCATTCTGTTTAAACATTTTTTCCAGGTTATGGATATATGCTTTCTATATTTATATAAATTTACACTAATAATTTGCATTATATAAGAGAGTGAATCAAACGTTCTAGCCAGTAGGCTAACCATAACCTAAAATTACTCATTTATACTCGAGACTTTTGAATGCATTACGAATTGTCGTAATCTTTGATAATTTATACTAAAACTACTAAGATTCCGTGGCTACGACATTTATTTCATTCCGGGACTACTAACCATAACCTAAAATTACTCATTTATACTTAAGATTTTCGAACGCATTACGATGTGTCGTAATTTTTGATAATTTATATTAGAACTACTAAAATTCCGTGGCCCAAAAGCTTCGAGTGTTATGACTTGTTTTACTTACAAGAATAAACCTCTAAATTAGCTGAAAAATGCCGGCGACCAATCAGGCTTAAGCAACGTTATTCTCTACCTACTAGCGCTATTAGTTCACGTGCTCGCCACACGCTGAAAAGCAAGTTCGCTTGATTTTTCTTTTCGAAAATGTAACATGTTGCGGGTATTCTTAAACAAATCAAAATTTCAAAACCTGCTGTACATTCTGAGACACTCTGACAGTATTAATAAAGTCCAGTAATGAAAATTTGTATGATGGACAGTTTGATAATTGTTTATTGTACGTAACACTGATCCATAGGCGTATCAAGCTGAAAACGGTGCGCAGCTTTCCGAATTCTATTTCTTTAGGAATATACAATAATACACAATAACAAAAAGAAGAATATGTACTATTTATGTACAAAAAGAATTAATATTTCAAACAAATTTGTTTATATTATTTGTTTTATTTAATAAAACAAATAATATTTATAATTTTATTTTAATAAAATAAAATTTTAACTGATATCTATCTTGAAAGATACGCCCATGGACATTTATTTAAAAAAAATTTGCCATCTCTTCACTATTTTTACAGACCTAACCTAAACCACCTTCAAAATTAAATTACCATAACCTTTGAAACAACCTCTCCTTATTTCAAGCAGTTATTTCTTACCTCCCAATAAAATCTGTGTGGGTCCTCGGTATTATTAAAAATTCGAGCGTAACAACTGCCTCAATCGACCTTCAAAATACCAAAAATTCTTTTAGTTTATCAATTCGATAAAAACAAGAGAAAATCCAATTTCGAAGATTGCCAAAATTTAAGTCAGAACACGGGAAGCAGTGTAAATAAAATTAATCTAAAATTGAGCTCCTCGAAATGTTTAATACATTTGCTCAATTTGAAAAAAAAGAAATTTCATTTATACTGGTCGAATTTCCAGGCTCTGAATATTCACGAAAATCAAACAAGGATATCCATTTCGGTCGAGTTTCACGATGCTCGACGGTGATAATCGCCGTCGAATGATTAATAATTAATGGCGACGAAAAGTAAAAGTGTTTTTAGAAACTTATAGCGGATAATATATATTTTTGTACGTTCGCAGTGTGCGTATTTGTGGCGAGTCCGTCGAGCATCGTCGAGGTTCGACGCGATCTCGCACGAAATGGCGTCCGATATCGCAAAATGGCGCACAGGCGCGCCAAAATGGCGGATAGTAGCGCGAGACGGTTCAAATGGCGCGCACCGACTCAAAGCAGCGCAAGGGCCGGAAAAGAGAGAGGAAAAACGACGGAAAGGTGAAAAACGAAGCTCGATCTTTTCCAGTAAGAAAAATGCCCCGCGAACGTGATACGATTAGGGGAAACGTCGCTCCCGGACTTCGAATAGAAGAAGAAACCCAAAAAATAATAAGGTATCGACTATCGCAAAGGTTACAGACCATCGACATTAATTATCTCACCTGATATTATTAGCGGCGCGCGACGACTCTGTGCGTAATCAAGAGAGAAAAAAAAACAATGAAAAAATAAAAGTTAAAACTCTCCCCGGGCCCAACTAATGTTACTTTATGAAAATGAAACGAAAAAAAAAAGCAGAGAGACGACTTGAAGTGAGATGACGCGAAAGAGACGCGAGCGAGCGAGAGGAAGAGTGAAAGAGAGGGAGAGACAGAGAGAGAGAGAGAAGGGATGCGTGTTTCGAGGGTGCGAGCGAGAGAGAATGACAGAAGAGAGACAGGTACGATTGAGAGCACTATTTTTAACTCGACAAAAAAAAAATAATAATTACTCCAGATATTGTTGCATGCCTAGTTAACCTATTATATAATCGAGGACGACGTTTTAACACTGGTGAAATATTACACGATTCGAAACGAAATTTAACCCCTCGCGGTCGCGCTTTGAATTGGGCTCGATGGTAAAAAACGAGACCGAGTCCTCTACGAGAACCGCGAAGGGTTGAAAGGTGAAATCAATCGAGCTGAAACGATGCGAGGCATCGCGACCTCGGATCAGCGTTGACCATCAGTTCCGTGGCGATTATGGCAACTAATGTTCGCTAGTTTACTTTCTCGCCACGGCGCTGCTGGCCAACGCTGCCTTAGATCTTAAGCACCTATTAATTATTACTATACACACGTATATCATTATGATCGTCGTCATCATCGTCATCGTTATCGTCATCATCATCATCATCATCATCATCATCATCATCATCATTATTATTATTATCACTATTATTATTATTGCAACTATTACGATGGTGTATATAAGTACACGTGACACGTATCAGTCGACAGATAATAAGTACTGAGGCGGAGAAGGAATTAAAGAGAGGCTTTCGAGTAGAGGAAATATGTGTTTTTGATTTTGTATCATCACCTTGCGGTCGTAGGTCGAGCTACATCCGACAGGATGTCCATCAGAAAACTTCGACTGCAAAGGGTTAATCGAAAATTTCGAGGTTAGAATTGTGAAAATTTGAAATATTCGAATCGGAAAACTTTGGAATAAAAAGAATCGAAATTGTAATCTCGTCAGCCTATCATCGTTCTCTGTCTCAGGATGTTTCGAATCTCCAAAACAAAAAAAAAAACATTCGACAAGTACATTAACCTAATCGTCGAGAACGTTATCGAGACGAATTTTTGAAATTTCTTTTAACACGATCGACAAAGTATCACGATCTTCGTACAACTCGCGATGCTCGAGCTCGAATTCTAGCGAGCTTGCTCGTTCATCGAGTGGGTGGTACATTAATAATAGAGAGAAGAAGCTGGACCAAATAGAACCTTCCTGGTGCATCTGTCAATCGCTTCGAGACGTATAGCAACATCTGCTAACTCATAC